GACATTTTTATTGGTATTTACAGAACTGACTTTGAGGCCCTTCGCGATCTGCATGGGTAGACTCAGTCGCTTGTAGTTGCAAGCAAATATATTAAAGTGACAGTACAGCTATTTGAGAGTGTTTATAGAAATATCGAAGTTGGATGTAAACATGACAGGGAATATTATTAGGTTCAACAACTTCTTTATTATTCAAATACATGTACAACGTTCCATGGCTACTTCTTGTACCTTCACCTGATGAAGTTGTGTATGTGCAATAAAGAAGTTGTTATCCATAATAATACTCCTTGTCACGAGTACATGTTTTTGAAAAAAAACAACAACAATAATTTATATTTAGGAACTAAAATGCTGTCACAAGTACGCGTTCAACTAATTTACCGATTGTGAGGTGCATTCAAATGTTGCAGGAATATTTCTTTTACAATCGTTTATGATGGAGTAAGCCACATAGACTGAAGGGTTTATCTTCACATTGTGAGTGCAAAATGTTCTTTGTAGCACTAGAGGTACACATTGTACAGTGTATTATCAGAACATGTCCAAGACAGATCGAACAATTAACCAGTGAAAGACAAAGCATCAAGACATTTTATCAATACAAGTTTATTAGTATAAATAATAATAGCACTGATACGGTTATCACATGGCATTCTCAAACCTCTCAAACGTTTTATGCTTGGTGGACGTCACCGACAGCCACATTCAGAGGCGATCATGTCTTCGTGATGACGTACAACGACTTCGCCATCCTCCGCGTACATCATACTGAGAGGTTCCAGTTTGGTAGGGACACAACAAGGGGAGGGAGCGACGTTGGAACGCTTGCTTCTCATGAGTGACTGCAACATGGCGTGGTTGGTGGGTTTGTGGCGGACGTCGATCGGGGAGGGACAGTTTCCGTGACAGAATTTGGAGTTGAAGCGTGTAGGGTGGATGATCCACTGTCCCCAGCCGATTGTGTTGAAGTCCACGTCAAAATCGTACAGACGACAGCCTTGTTTCTTTCCTGCCTTATTCCATCTTCTGTTCTTGCGTCGACGACGTCTGATTATGTCAGGTGCAGATCTCTTACCACGCGATGCGCTATTCATCAATCCATCGTATGTAGACTGCTCTTTAAACAAAACGTTTTGAAGAAAGTCCTGATTTTCCAAATACAAAACAAGTAAGTTTTCATAGGCATCGGATGTTGTTTTCGAAAGAAGTCGGAAGAAAGTCCGCGGCATTTCCACATGAATGGTGACGTCACCGTGGTAACCGTTGACCCAGGCAGTGATGGCTCGACTGATGTCAAAAACAAAATCTTCACGGTGTGTAGTAGGTTGGACTCTGATGGTAACTTTTCTTGCGATCTTCTTTCCCTTGAAAATGCTGACCTTGACCTTGTACTTCTTTAGAAGGGAGAGAGCGCGTGGGCACCGGAACTCAGCTAATCGGAGACTCTCGTCCTTAGGCAGACTAGGTATCTTGAACGAAAGGCCAACTCTGCTGCTTTCATTGATTTTACTCATGTCTGAAATAAGAAACAGGATCATATTAAAAAGTAAATAAAAAGGTGAAGCATTTTTCCAAAATAGATTCTTGTTTGGAATCAGAAAGATATTTTCCGGGTTTGTATTGCACATCTACACACCAGTCAGTCTGGTGTTAAGCTTACCTTTAGCTGCGAAGCTCCTGATAGTGTCGACTTTCATAAAATCAGCTGTTTTGAGCTTTCTGCCTGCTGCTGTTGCAAGTGGTGCCCCCTTTTGAAGAATATTAAACAATCGCAGCATGAATTTGGTTGAATCCTTTTGATAATCAACTGTATGACTCAGCTTGCTGACAAAAGGGGATATGTCTGCAACATGTTTTCCCTCATTCCGGTAAGTGTGGGGTTTGACTTGAAACTCCTGGTTTAGCCATTGTTTGGGTGAAGCTAAGCGACGTGCTCCAACATTGGTGAGATATGTCAGAAATAAAATGGCGATTTTACACTGCGACATTTTCTGATAGCTGGATTGATGTTTTGGTTTGTCAGTGTAGGATGCAGCAATGCAAGTGATGATGTGATAGCTTCAGTGTGGCGTTTTATACCAGACCCTACTACTTGTGTAAACAAGACAAGTGGTAACATAATGGTCGGGTGTTGGCGAGGTGTCCATATTCCTTCAGGCAAAGATTATAATCTGTCGTAAGGACATGTCGCGTGCATCAGATCTAGTTGTAGCTTCTTCATGTAAAATAACACCTTCTGGTTACATCACTACATCATACCTTTAATGCAAGGTTTAGAGGAAAATAACCTAATATTTTGTGAAATGAACAATTAAACACACATTAGCCATACATATTCTGATACCTCGGATGCTTTAAATTAGTAATTAATTTTGCTAATTATTCGTGAAATGTCTACTTTAAAAGGTAATCTTATGACAGTGGAGAGACTTCTTGGATTTTGTATGTTTTCAATTTGTTTGATTTTACTGTTCAAATATGTACTTATACGCTGTTTCTCATAGATATAAAATATATTCAATATTCATAGATAAACAAGGATTTCGATATCCATTCACCAGACAGGGGCGATCATCCCCAATCCACAGTAACAAGCCCGTCTCCCTGTCTCATCTGACTGTCGAACAATCACTGTCTGATCCTGTCTTCAGGATCACTCTCATTGCGCTAATCTAAGCTTATTACTGTTGTCATTAGTTTAAGAAAACAACTCGTCAGGTTCAAGAGTAACCCATTACACGCCACAGTGAATGTTCATGGAACGGATTACACCTTTGTTTCTTTAGATTGCAGAGATTTTACTTCACTCCTATCCTTTTCGCAAACATTTACGCAGTATGTAAGATCAATATAAGCATAGAAAGTATCACTACCTACATATCATTTGTACTTTTCCCTAACAGGAATATTTCCAAGATTGGTATCTACACGTTGGTATCGTCTGTAATATAACTACATTGTGTTTGTTAAAGTAGACACAATTTATGGATAACAACTTCTTGGAAAGGCGACGTTTCGGTATACATACTTATATTTATGTTATGTGTGTTACCTTCACTCCAAGTTCATTTACGTTGGAATCTAATGATTCACTTCAAGATATCAGAACACATCTTCTCTTAAGGAAACTGTACATGGCATATGACGATCACATATAGAATATTGTTTTTGTCTGTTCCAAACACACACACTTTCTTGCGTTTTAAATGACGAGGGAAGTGTATGGGTACATGTCATGAAACGAGATTGTCTATCATCAAAACAATACAAAGATCAATTATTTTAAATCCTTTTCAGCTGAGTGTCTATCAATATCCCGACATGTGTTATTGCGGCAATGTTTATGACGAAGTCGCCATGCATGTCAGACACCACAGTCAGCATATGCAGAAGTGTCAGACAGTTAGCATGTCTCCTGTGTTATCATCATTGCTATTTGGCCACTTGTTGTTGAATCAATATGGTGAAAGTGAATCAAAAGACATAATTAACTTCTTGATCTGTGAAGAATGAACAATTTGTACATCTCTGGATATAACCAAAGTCGTTATTTTCTGATTGGCTCTATTAGAATTCCAAAGTGGATTCCAATTTTCAGCTACTCGTTATGCTGAGAGTAACTGAACTATCTCAATAAACAAACTTTATATAATTTGTTAAAATCACTGCTCCTTGAAAATAAAATATGTTCAATGTAATAACATATCTGTTCCAAACCATTTGCTGAATAGCAGTAAAATCATATTGCGTTGTCTATTTTCCGTTGCAGTATGCTCTTTAAAACAACAGGAATGGAAGACACTCATTTGAATGAAGAACTATTGTTTTCAGCGAAATTATGTGTAAGCATGAGAATATTTTCTCCATAAATTATCTTTAAACTAATTCCTAAATGATGTATCTTTTAATTTCTACTATTGATAGTGAAGTAGGTTGATACATTTACGAAAAGGTTATTATTAGATTTAACTCTACACTCTGTATCAGAAACACTCCATTAATTCGTTCTGCTGTTCAACATAAAGGCAACGTTAGACGCCGAAAAACAACCATCATTACTTGTAACAAGCCTGTCTTCCAGTGAGTGAGTGAGTATTGTTTTACGCCGCTTTTAGCAATATTCCAGCAATATTACGGCGGGGAACACCAGAAATGCTGTCTTCCAGACTCGTCTAACTAGAATAATCATAGTCTAACCCTGTTAATGATTAAACTGCTAAACTTTTCCACCAATAATCCTATCCAATCGATGTCCTTGTTGGTGAAATGAAAACAGTTCATCACACTATTCTGTCAGAGATTGAAGACATTTTTATTGGTATTTACAGAACTGACTTTGAGGCCCTTCGCGATCTGCATGGGTAGACTCAGTCGCTTGTAGTTGCAAGCAAATATATTAAAGTGACAGTACAGCTATTTGAGAGTGTTCATAGAAATATCGAAGTTGGATGTAAACATGACAGGGAATATTATTAGGTTCAACAACTTCTTTATTATTCAAATACATGTACAACGTTCCATGGCTACTTCTTGTACCTTCACCTGATGAAGTTGTGTATGTGCAATAAAGAAGTTGTTATCCATAATAATACTCCTTGTCACGAGTACATGTTTTTGAAAAAAAACAACAACAATAATTTATATTTAGGAACTAAAATGCTGTCACAAGTACGCGTTCAACTAATTTACCGATTGTGAGGTGCATTCAAATGTTGCAGGAATATTTCTTTTACAATCGTTTATGATGGAGTAAGCCACATAGACTGAAGGGTTTATCTTCACATTGTGAGTGCAAAATGTTCTTTGTAGCACTAGAGGTACACATTGTACAGTGTATTATCAGAACATGTCCAAGACAGATCGAACAATTAACCAGTGAAAGACAAAGCATCAAGACATTTTATCAATACAAGTTTATTAGTATAAATAATAATAGCACTGATACGGTTATCACATGGCATTCTCAAACCTCTCAAACGTTTTATGCTTGGTGGACGTCACCGACAGCCACATTCAGTGGCGATCATGTCTTCGTGATGACGTACAACGACTTCGCCATCCTCCGCGTACATCATACTGAGAGGTTCCAGTTTGGTAGGGACACAACAAGGGGAGGGAGCGACGTTGGAACGCTTGCTTCTCATGAGTGACTGCAACATGGCGTGGTTGGTGGGTTTGAGGCGGACGTCGATCGGGGAGGGACAGTTTCCGTGACAGAATTTGGAGTTGAAGCGTGTAGGGTGGATGATCCACTGTCCCCAGCCGATTGTGTTGAAGTCCACGTCAAAATCGTACAGACGACAGCCTTGTTTCTTTCCTGCCTTATTCCATCTTCTGTTCTTGCGTCGACGACGTCTGATTATGTCAGGTGCAGATCTCTTACCACGCGATGCGCTATTCATCAATCCATCGTATGTAGACTGCTCTTTAAACAAAACGTTTTGAAGAAAGTCCTGATTTTCCAAATACAAAACAAGTAAGTTTTCATAGGCATCGGATGTTGTTTTCGAAAGAAGTCGGAAGAAAGTCCGCGGCATTTCCACATGAATGGTGACGTCACCGTGGTAACCGTTGACCCAGGCAGTGATGGCTCGACTGATGTCAAAAACAAAATCTTCACGGTGTGTAGTAGGTTGGACTCTGATGGTAACTTTTCTTGCGATCTTCTTTCCCTTGAAAATGCTGACCTTGACCTTGTACTTCTTTAGAAGGGAGAGAGCGCGTGGGCACCGGAACTCAGCTAATCGGAGACTCTCGTCCTTAGGCAGACTAGGTATCTTGAACGAAAGGCCAACTCTGCTGCTTTCATTGATTTTACTCATGTCTGAAATAAGAAACAGGATCATATTAAAAAGTAAATAAAAAGGTGAAGCATTTTTCCAAAATAGATTCTTGTTTGGAATCAGAAAGATATTTTCCGGGTTTGTATTGCACATCTACACACCAGTCAGTCTGGTGTTAAGCTTACCTTTAGCTGCGAAGCTCCTGATAGTGTCGACTTTCATAAAATCAGCTGTTTTGAGCTTTCTGCCTGCTGCTGTTGCAAGTGGTGCCCCCTTTTGAAGAATATTAAACAATCGCAGCATGAATTTGGTTGAATCCTTTTGATAATCAACTGTATGACTCAGCTTGCTGACAAAAGGGGATATGTCTGCAACATGTTTTCCCTCATTCCGGTAAGTGTGGGGTTTGACTTGAAACTCCTGGTTTAGCCATTGTTTGGGTGAAGCTAAGCGACGTGCTCCAACATTGGCGAGATATGTCAGAAATAAAATGGCGATTTTACACTGCGACATTTTCTGATAGCTGGATTGATGTTTTGGTTTGTCAGTGTAGGATGCAGCAATGCAAGTGATGATGTGATAGCTTCAGTGTGGCGTTTTATACCAGACCCTACTACTTGTGTAAACAAGACAAGTGGTAACATAATGGTCGGGTGTTGGCGAGGTGTCCATATTCCTTCAGGCAAAGATTATAATCTGTCGTAAGGACATGTCGCGTGCATCAGATCTAGTTGTAGCTTCTTCATGTAAAATAACACCTTCTGGTTACATCACTACATCATACCTTTAATGCAAGGTTTAGAGGAAAATAACCTAATATTTTGTGAAATGAACAATTAAACACACATTAGCCATACATATTCTGATACCTCGGATGCTTTAAATTAGTAATTAATTTTGCTAATTATTCGTGAAATGTCTACTTTAAAAGGTAATCTTATGACAGTGGAGAGACTTCTTGGATTTTGTATGTTTTCAATTTGTTTGATTTTACTGTTCAAATATGTACTTATACGCTGTTTCTCATAGATATAAAATATATTCAATATTCATAGATAAACAAGGATTTCGATATCCATTCACCAGACAGGGGCGATCATCCCCAATCCACGGTAACAAGCCCGTCTCCCTGTCTCATCTGACTGTCGAACAATCACTGTCTGATCCTGTCTTCAGGATCACTCTCATTGCGCTAATCTAAGCTTATTACTGTTGTCATTAGTTTAAGAAAACAACTCGTCAGGTTCAAGAGTAACCCATTACACGCCACAGTGAATGTTCATGGAACGGATTACACCTTTGTTTCTTTAGATTGCAGAGATTTTACTTCACTCCTATCCTTTTCGCAAACATTTACGCAGTATGTAAGATCAATATAAGCATAGAAAGTATCACTACCTACATATCATTTGTACTTTTCCCTAACAGGAATATTTCCAAGATTGGTATCTACACGTTGGTATCGTCTGTAATATAACTACATTGTGTTTGTTAAAGTAGACACAATTTATGGATAACAACTTCTTGGAAAGGCGACGTTTCGGTATACATACTTATATTTATGTTATGTGTGTTACCTTCACTCCAAGTTCATTTACGTTGGAATCTAATGATTCACTTCAAGATATCAGAACACATCTTCTCTTAAGGAAACTGTACATGGCATATGACGATCACATATAGAATATTGTTTTTGTCTGTTCCAAACACACACACTTTCTTGCGTTTTAAATGACGAGGGAAGTGTATGGGTACATGTCATGAAACGAGATTGTCTATCATCAAAACAATACAAAGATCAATTATTTTAAATCCTTTTCAGCTGAGTGTCTATCAATATCCCGACATGTGTTATTGCGGCAATGTTTATGACGAAGTCGCCATGCATGTCAGACACCACAGTCAGCATATGCAGAAGTGTCAGACAGTTAGCATGTCTCCTGTGTTATCATCATTGCTATTTGGCCACTTGTTGTTGAATCAATATGGTGAAAGTGAATCAAAAGACATAATTAACTTCTTGATCTGTGAAGAATGAACAATTTGTACATCTCTGGATATAACCAAAGTCGTTATTTATTGATTGGCTCTATTAGAATTCCAAAGTGGATTCCAATTTTCAGCTACTCGTTATGCTGAGAGTAACTGAACTATCTCAATAAACAGACTTTATATAATTTGTTAAAATCACTGCTCCTTGAAAATAAAATATGTTCAATGTAATAACATATCTGTTCCAAACCATTTGCTGAATAGCAGTAAAATCATATTGCGTTGTCTATTTTCCGTTGCAGTATGCTCTTTAAAACAACAGGAATGGAAGACACTCATTTGAATGAAGAACTATTGTTTTCAGCGAAATTATGTGTAAGCATGAGAATATTTTCTCCATAAATTATCTTTAAACTAATTCCTAAATGATGTATCTTTTAATTTCTACGATTTATAGTGAAGTAGGTTGATACATTTACGAAAAGGTTATTATTAGATTTAACTCTACACACTGTATCAGAAACACTCCATTAATTCGTTCTGATGTTCAACATAAAGGCAACGTTAGACGCCGAAAAACAACCATCATTACTTGTAACAAGCCTGTCTTCCAGTGAGTGAGTGAGTGAGTATTGTTTTACGCCGCTTTTAGCAATATTCCAGCAATATTACGGCGGGGGACACCAGAAATGCTGTCTTCCAGACTCGTCTAACTAGAATACTCATAGTCTAACCCTGTTAATGATTAAACTGCTAAACTTTTCCACCAATAATCCTATCCAATCGATGTCCTTGTTGGTGAAATGAAAACAGTTCATCACACTATTCTGTCAGAGATTGAAGACATTTTTATTGGTATTTACAGAACTGACTTTGAGGCCCTTCGCGATCTGCATGGGTAGACTCAGTCGCTTGTAGTTGCAAGCAAATATATTAAAGTGACAGTACAGCTATTTGAGAGTGTTTATAGAAATATCGAAGTTGGATGTAAACATGACAGGGAATATTATTAGGTTCAACAACTTCTTTATTATTCAAATACATGTACAACGTTCCATGGCTACTTCTTGTACCTTCACCTGATGAAGTTGTGTATGTGCAATAAAGAAGTTGTTATCCATAATACTACTCCTTGTCACGAGTACATGTTTTTGAAAAAAAACAACAACAATAATTTATATTTAGGAACTAAAATGCTGTCACAAGTACGCGTTCAACTAATTTACCGATTGTGAGGTGCATTCAAATGTTGCAGGAATATTTCTTTTACAATCGTTTATGATGGAGTAAGCCACATAGACTGAAGGGTTTATCTTCACATTGTGAGTGCAAAATGTTCTTTGTAGCACTAGAGGTACACATTGTACAGTGTATTATCAGAACATGTCCAAGACAGATCGAACAATTAACCAGTGAAAGACAAAGCATCAAGACATTTTATCAATACAAGTTTATTAGTATAAATAATAATAGCACTGATACGGTTATCACATGGCATTCTCAAACCTCTCAAACGTTTTATGCTTGGTGGACGTCACCGACAGCCACATTCAGAGGCGATCATGTCTTCGTGATGACGTACAACGACTTCGCCATCCTCCACGTACATCATACTGAGAGGTTCCAGTTTGGTAGGGACACAACAAGGGGAGGGAGCGACGTTGGAACGCTTGCTTCTCATGAGTGACTGCAACATGGCGTGGTTGGTGGGTTTGTGGCGGACGTCGATCGGGGAGGGACAGTTTCCGTGACAGAATTTGGAGTTGAAGCGTGTAGGGTGGATGATCCACTGTCCCCAGCCGATTGTGTTGAAGTCCACGTCAAAATCGTACAGACGACAGCCTTGTTTCTTTCCTGCCTTATTCCATCTTCTGTTCTTGCGTCGACGACGTCTGATTATGTCAGGTGCAGATCTCTTACCACGCGATGCGCTATTCATCAATCCATCGTATGTAGACTGCTCTTCAAACAAAACGTTTTGAAGAAAGTCCTGATTTTCCAAATACAAAACAAGTAAGTTTTCATAGGCTTCGGATGTTGTTTTCGAAAGAAGTCGGAAGAAAGTCCGCGGCATTTCCACATGAATGGTGACGTCACCGTGGTAACCGTTGACCCAGGCAGTGATGGCTCGACTGATGTCAAAAACAAAATCTTCACGGTGTGTAGTAGGTTGGACTCTGATGGTAACTTTTCTTGCGATCTTCTTTCCCTTGAAAATGCTGACATTGACCTTGTACTTCTTTAGAAGGGAGAGAGCGCGTGGGCACCGGAACTCAGCTAATCGGAGACTCTCGTCCTTAGGCAGACTAGGTATCTTGAACGAAAGGCCAACTCTGCTGCTTTCATTGATTTTACTCATGTCTGAAATAAGAAACAGGATCATATTAAAAAGTAAATAAAAAGGTGAAGCATTTTTCCAAAATAGATTCTTGTTTGGAATCAGAAAGATATTTTCCGGGTTTGTATTGCACATCTACACACCAGTCAGTCTGGTGTTAAGCTTACCTTTAGCTGCGAAGCTCCTGACAGTGTCGACTTTCATAAAATCAGCTGTTTTGAGCTTTCTGCCTGCTGCTGTTGCAAGTGGTGCCCCCTTTTGAAGAATATTAAACAATCGCAGCATGAATTTGGTTGAATCCTTTTGATAATCAACTGTATGACTCAGTTTGCTGACAAAAGGGGATATGTCTGCAACATGTTTTCCCTCATTCCGGTAAGTGTGGGGTTTGACTTGAAAATCCTGGTTTAGCCATTGTTTGGGTGAAACTAAGCGACGTGCTCCAACATTGGCAAGATATGTCAGAAATAAAATGGCGATTTTACACTGCGACATTTTCTGATAGCTGGATTGATTTTTTAGTTTGTCAGTGTAGGATGCAGAAATGCAAGCGATGATGTGATAGCTTCAGTGTGGCGTTATATACCAGACCCTACTACTTGTGTAAACAAGACAAGTGGTAACATAATGGTCGGGTGTTGGCGAGGTGTCCATATTCCTTCAGGCAAAGATTATAATCTGTCGTAAGGACATGTCGCGTGCATCAGATCTAGTTGTAGCTTCTTCATGTAAAATAACACCTTCTGGTTACATCACTACATCATACCTTTAATGCAAGGTTTTGAGGAAAATAACCTAATACTTTGTGAAATGAAGAATTAAACACACATTAGCCATACATATTCTGATACCTCGGATACTTTAAATTAGTAATTAATTTTGCTAATGTATATTCCCATTTCGTGAAATGTCTACTTTAAAAGGTAATCTTATGACAGTGGAGAGACTTCTTGGACTTTGTATATTTTCAATTTGTTTGATTTTACTGTTCAAATATGTACTTATACGCTGTTTCTCATAGATATAAAATATATTCAATATTCATAGATAAACAAGGATTTCGATATCCATTCACCAGACAGGGACGATCATCCCCAATCCACAGTAACAAGCCCGTCTCCCTGTCTCATCTGACTGTCGAACAATCACTGTCTGATCCTGTCTTCAGGATCACTCTCATCCC